CCCCAAAACCCCAAAACCCCTTCTGACATATAATAGTTGAGAATAGTAGGAAAGTTGGAAATAAAATTAGACTAGAGTTTAAAAAGATTTAATATATATATGGATCCCATTTGTAAATTATTAGAAAGATCTTATTGCTTAGTAATATTTATTACTCAATAATTATACTTATGAGCTAAATGAAGAACAGTAATTCCAACCAAGGTATATTACTGTTTCCTTATATTTTTAATAGATAATAAGTATTTCAAGCACCCTTGTCTTGATCCAAAGAGCAAAAAATGTACAGCTGATGAATATTTTAAAGAGATTACCTACCAAATAGATTTATAATGTACAAATTATCACATCCTAACTTTTTTCCTCAGAATTGTATAAGATTGTTGGTACCTGTTATTACTAAGATGATATGAAATATTATCCAGTAATATTGGAAATTGTGCCCCAAAAAATTATAGATTCTTTCAATGGATGCAAGTATTTGCTTTAAGTTTGGAATCAGCAAAATGAAAAAATATTCCAACTTTCTTTAAATAGTACTTTAACTGTCTAATAATTTATCTTAGAACCTGTGACTATCTGGGCAATATGTTATTAATACTTTATCTATTAAGTCGATGAAGATAAACCAATTCTTGGATAAGGAGTACTAACCATTGTAAACCTTGAAAAAGAAAATCATACAGTCAAGTTATAAAATTTTACAAGAGCATTTACTAGTAAATAATAAATTCTTAACCTTCACTTTTTAATTAGAACATATAAGCTATAACCATGGAACTTTGATCGAAGCTACTGACTATTAATTTCAAGCAATTTATCTGGATGAGGCGTTGTTCAATAATGTTTCTACTTCAATTGATGCCAAAAATTTAAAAATCAAGACTGTATCTACAGAGGTTAAAATCTAAGCTCTATTGACTCATATGAATTGTAGAAATATGAACTTTCAATATATATGCTTTGAAACTGATGATGCCATTTTGGATTTTAATAGAGTATATTTCACAAATCTCGATGCAGAGGATGATGCTCTATTTACTTACTCTTTTGAATAAACTGTAGAGATTAATCATAGAGGAACATGCATTAATGATCCAATTGTTAAGATAGTTATGGTGTTTGTTAACGGCTATAACTACTCCATTGTTTAAAGAGCTTCCGGGGGAGTTGACCTTTATTGGAATCTAAGATTGAAGGATTCAATTGAAAATAGTATTACTTCGTACTTTTTTATTATTTTTAGATATTGTTTCTGACATCTCTATAAGTTTTACATCTCTATACTTCAAGATGTATAATGGAACTTATAGATACTTTGATCACAAATCAAATTCAAATATTTCTTTTGATTAAGCAGTAGAAATCTCTAATGATTAACTCAATTTCGATCAAATTCATGTTAGAATTGTTCAAAATATAGTAAAAATCTACTCAGGAATGAACATGGTGTATCTAAAAGACAAAGGGTAAACTCTTTATCTCATTTCTCATGGCAAATTTCTCTCGATTTTCGATATTGAAGATTGGATCTGGATTAATCATTTGTAATTTGAGGAAGAAATTTCTGCAATTTATAAGAATTAAGTTTAAATAAATGAATATGAAGAATAAGATGAGAATAAAATTCTAGAATAAGATTCTGACGTTAACTATGTCCCAGATTTCTAAGTCATTTTGACAAATGGAGATATACACTAGAAGATTCTTGATATTTTCCAGTAAAATTCTATAGTTTCATCAGAAAGATGTAATATCAGATTAAAAGGAAAAATTTTGAGACTTACTGATGATATTGTCAAGAATCGCAGCATTTTTATAGTTATCCAACAAGAAAACTAAGACATCTGCTTAAAGTAGGTAAGAAATAACTGAGTATACGATATTTAAATTCCGAACCCATAAAAGAATCTCAATGTAGTCTCCTATCAATTTATAGATTAAGATTCTACTTATTTACTGATCCAAAATGGATTGAAGCTATCACTCAACAAATTGATACTAAATGAAGAAGGAGCTAACTAATTAAACTTAAAGTTACTTCATTAACTTAATGGAGGTGATACTGTTACAGGAACCATTCACACAATTTCTTCATATGATATAGAGAATCATCTCATCATGGTGGATGAATTAAATATGTATGTTTACAAAATTTAGGAAGCAACTTGGTAAATTTACGAAAATTAGTATTGTACAGGACTATCTTACTTCGATAAAAATACTAGCTATATGATTTGCTAGTAAGACCCTAGTTCATAAAACCCTGGATTAAGGATGCTTGATATGGAAGCATTAATAACAAAAGATCGCCTAGTAGTCCCACTTCTTAAAGATGTTCAAATTGGTGCAAGAGTAAATTTTTATTATGATACTGGATTCAATCGACTTAGTTTCATCTAATCAATCACAAATGCCTTGATTTTTCCTGTTTTACATTGGAACACATCTTATTTTATAGGCTGTCAAGACAATACTAATTACTTATGCTATAAAATAATTGGAGATAAATTTATTGCTCTACAAGCAAATGGTCTGTTATAATCTTGGGATATGGTTTCAGCAAAGCTTCATGAGAAGAAGCAACTAGTTAATGTTGATTATAGTGGTTACGAAATAAGTCAATATGATCAAATGGGTGCTGTATTGCTATAATCAAAAGAAAACATATCATTATAAAATTCTGATTAGTTCTTTGAGGCTTGGCAGTTGAAAACAACTTTAAAATATCAGAAACCTCAATGCAAGTCTGATAATTTTGCAATTAAAAACTTCAAACTAATTGAAATAAAAAGCACTAATGAGATTATTGAATATCTCAATTTTGACTTTCTAAAGTATGATATGTTTTAGATAATGACTGTCAGTAAAAATAAGGAAAGACTATTTACTTAGTTTATAAATTACAGATGTATGCTTTATCAATTTAAAAGAATAAGTGATAATCCAATTAAATATAAAGTTGAGCTTATTAGAAAAGTAATGGATTTTCCTTCAGAATTCGTCATTAATAGCTAAAATTACTGGCGTTAATACTTTTCTCCAAACTTTTAAAGATAAATAACAATGGATAAATAAAAAACCAAATTTTTTATATCAGATTTCACAACTGGACAAGTGCTCTTTGAAATTCCTCAAGATATTATGGATCTAACTTCTGGTTGAACTCCTTATACAGTAATTAACAGATTTAATTTCTTAGATGAAGAAAACTTTAAAATAGTCAGTGAAGATGGCATTGAAAAAATTCTGCATATTGACAGTGGATTTACAGAAATTTCTTATAACTAAATTCCTTTATTTAATGAAATAAATGGAGATGAATATTTTGATGAGGTCTACTACCTATCAAGATAGACTTTTCCTTGGTCAGTTGAATAATTACTTCAATATACCTATCAAAATTATAAAGGATTGTACAATTTAGAGTGCAAATAGTCATAAGAGCAAATGATTCCTTTGATGTTCATAACAGATTAAGCTTATAGCAAAAGATCCATTGCTCCATTTACTTTTGCTCATTGGAGCTTAATCGAATAACTTTAGTAAGGAAAGCTCAAAGTTGAAGAGCTGCAAGAAAATGTTGTAAGAGAAATACTTTACAATATTCTTCCTGGTGGTAATACTGTTCTGCATTTACTATGTGATTAGCATGAAGAATTAACTAAATTGCTCTACTTAGCTCATCCTTAAGGAAAGGAAATAAAATTTCATATGCCTTTCATTTCAAATTTAGATGGGGAATCTCCAATACATATCTGCCTTAAAAAATAAGCTTTCAAAAGCATAGATATTTTGCTAAATTGTCTAAGTTTATACCCTACTGATCATCATTCAAGAACAATTAAAGATCTCTATCCAAATTTAATAGAACAATAGCCTAAAAATTTCTTAAACTATTTAGATTCAAGAATTCAGCAAACTAGGTAATTAGAACAGTTTAACAAAGGAGCATTGAAAGAAGATTATCCTGAAATTATTATTGATGATCTTTGGCTCAATCAATAAGACCTTAAGTAACAAATTTTAACAACAGGAGCTATTGAATCAAGGATCAAATGTGAAATTCTTGACATGCCAGGGATTTACCACATGAAAGATTAGCATTTTGATTCTTTATTTGAGCAATTATCTAAGACTGATTAATTAGATTACTTTAATAGGAGAGCTGTAAGAAAACTTATAGAATTTAACTATCCTTTGGTAAAAGAATATATCTTAAAGAAATTATTTCTGCCATTCTGCTTGTTTCATCTCTGCTTTGTGATTTTCATGAATTTTATTTTTGAGCAAAGATCCTTAAATGGTTATAGTTAGGTTTACTACCCATTGCTGATCTTAAATGCAATTATGGCAACATATTTCTTGTCAAATGAGATGAAATAGCTAAGCTCTAGATCAGATTACTTTTAGGATTTCTGGAATTACATTGATATCATTCCTCCAATCGGAATCTACGTTTTTGTAGTATCAGCAATATGTAACGACTATGAAATTTAATTTGGAGATGATATTGACAGAAGTATACAATCAATTGTTACCTTCTTTATGTGGTTTAAATTCCTTTATTTCTTGAGAATTTTTAAAAGAACTGGCTATTTAATCAGAATGATCT